TTCCGACAGTGACAGGGAGTTAGAAACACGTAAAATGAGACCCACGGATCACACGTGAGCAAACACTTCCGACAGTGACAGGGAGCTAGAAACACGTAAAATGAGACCCACGGACCACACGTGAGTGGACACTTCCGACAGTGACAGGGAGCTAGAAACACAAAATCAGACCCACGGACCACACGTGAGCGGACACTTCCGACAGTGACAGGGAGCTAGAAACACGTAAAATCAGATATCCACGGACCACACGTGAGCAGACACTTCCAATAGTGACAGGGAGCTAGAAACACAAAATCAGACCCACGGACCACACGTGAGCAGACACTTCCAATAGTGACAGGGAGCTAGAAACATGTAAAATCAGATATCCAGTTCCTGGTCACAGGGGCTGCATCTCAAGTGATCGGGACACCTGCAGCCAGCAGATGCAGGGCTGGACGGCGCAGACACGGCGCATGCCCGTGACCACTGCACATTTGACTGGACAGCGCTGCTCTGACTTTTAGAAGGAACAAGCTGTGGATTAGTGTTGGGATTACTCTCTTTGCTATCATTTATCCAAAAAAATTCTCAATAGCATAATATCACACCCTCTACGTCAAATTATCAACTTTTGTAGAATTTCAGAAAGAGGTCATGTTTGTAAAAGCATCCCAGAGCTCCACACAGCCCCAGGCCCTCTCTCCATCCTGTGCCATCACATTGGTGAAAAGCACACAACCCCAGGACCAGGCTGTCTGGGTTCACACTCTGTGGCCTTATGCGACCTTGAACAAATCATCTGCCTTGTGTGTGCGCCTTGGTTTCCTCGTCTGCAGAGTGAGGACACCAGGGTGTGACAAGGGTTGAAAAGGTTGAAACACGTACAGTGTTTGGAATGCATTAGCTGTGGACTGTTCTGCGGGATGTTCTGGCCATGTGACTTCGTGCTACACCCTTTCGATTCTAGCCGGTGTTCATACTGAAGTGGACCTACTACACACACCATCGACAGGTGAGCACAGGCCAGCTTCCACCTCTGCCCCACATGTGACAGGTGAGCGTGAGCTGCTCCGATCAGTCACACTGCTCTTTTCTGTAATTCATTAAATGGTCTAATTCGACTAAACGGTAACTTGTTAATGGTTCTGCAAGAGATTCAAGCGGCTTTTTTCTTGGTTTTTTTTTTTTTGGTGGCTGGCTGGTACAGGGATCGAACCCCGGACATCCTGGACCTTGGTGTTATCAAACCATGCCACTACACCCTAACCAACTGAGCTAACCGGCCAGCTCCTCAAGCAGCCCTCTAGTACAACTTTCATCCACGTCATGATGTCCTGTGTCTGTCACAAGATCTGCAATTTCAGTGTGTAACTGATGTGCATTATGTTCACACTACACAGTCCCGTAAAAACCTAATAATCAACACAGAGATGTGATTACAAGATGCTGAGAAGACAGGCCAAAGGTGCCTGTAGCTGGGGTGGGCTTTGGAGGGGCTGACTCCATGAGCGTCTAGTCTGCCAGAGGATACTTTTCTTAAAATCTGCATTGCCAGAAGATCTCTACTCTTAGAACGCAAACATTTAAAAATATCTGAGCGTGCCTGCGTGTGTGTACACATATTTGTGAGTCTCTACTCACTGGCCAAGAGAACATGGGTCAAAGACGGAGCTCAGTGACACTGGTTGTGTCACATAGTGGGGCCACCTCTTCCTTTGCAGCCTCGCTGCAGGGGCAAGACACACAGCAAACATTCAGTAAATGTTAGTAGAACTGCAGTCCGATCCATGGGACACCCATCCTCTTCTCAGTGGAACTAAGAGGCAGCACACTACAAGCTGGACCTCAGACTGCCCCTCCCTACACCCATCTGTATTATAAGCCCAGCAGGAGAGCTAAGCAAACGAGGGACTTGTTTAAACACACGATCTACAAAACAGAAACACTTCTAAGGGGCTTCCTTAAATAGTAGCACACGAAGACTACAGCGTCAGATCCCACAGAGACGGACTCACTCGAACAGCCCACTGGGAGGTCAGGCATTTCTGTACTTGGAAACCACTTGGGCCCTGGAAATTACTGGAACCAAAAACCCTGCTTAACAAATCACTGCAAACCAAGTGCCCCGGGGGATGGTTCCAGGATCCCTGCAGATTCCAAAACCAGTGGATGCGCAAGTCCCTTACGTGAAATGCTGTAGTTATTTGCACCTAAGCTACGCACATACTCCCCCTGTACTTTAAATCATCTCCAGATTACTTGTAACACCTAATACCATGTAAATGCTATACACATAGTTGTTACTTTGTATTGTTTTTCATATTTGCATTATTTTTTAGTTTATTTTTTTTATTGTTGGGTTTTCCCTGAATATTTTCAACAGCAGGTTGTTTGAATCAGCAGCTGCAGACCCCATGGCTGTGTTCTCACCTTGGGGTGGCACTGCAGAATGGAGAATAGCACACTGTGCACCCTGGGGAAGACGCTGCCGTACTCCGGGGGCTTCAGGTGCTGCAGGGGGACGGCCAGCAGGACGCTGAAGGCCAGGCTGACGTGGTGGGGGTTGCTGATGGCCTCCTCCCCCCGCCGCAGCAGCACGGCCAGCACATCCAGGATGGGCCCGACCACCGCGAGGGGCACCGGCCGCTCCCAACAAGCCTCTCGGTTTTGCAGCTACGGGCAAGACAGGAAAAAGGAGAGAAAGTGAAGTGAGTCTCCAGAGAAACAACATGGAAACTACAGCCCGAGTGACGGAGGTGACAAGGTCCAGTCTCCGAAATAAGCTGGTGCTGTCAACGGGCAGCCAGGATGCAAGGCGATGCGTCTGGCTTCTCATCATGAGAAAGCCACACGACACACACAGAACAGCACTCCGAGCTCTAGTCCTACGTGTCTGTAACTGAGCATCACTTGCTAGGTCTCTTACAAATCAGCTCTAGCTGAAGCTGTTCGATTATTGCCTGGAAGACACAGATGACAAACTCGAGATAAGGGACAGCTCGGTCTTGCCTGTGTGAGCTGCGACAGCTGCCTGTGACTCCCGCTCAGACACTGAGCCCCCGAGAGGCCCTCTGGGTTGTCTCCAACGCCCTCCATCTGCGGGGTGCCAGGCCTTCACCCGCACCTGCACAGATGCCAGCCTGGTCACCAGTGCCCAGCCCGCGTCTCCTCCTGATGCTGGCCGCGCACTCGAGGACTTGACCCGTTTCATCCACTAACACGAGTTATTCTCAGGATAACGTCAAAGCAGCAGAATTGAAAACGGGACAGAACATCAAGTCTACTGTTCAGGTCCTTCTGCCCTGGGAACAAGCTAATCCAGGGCAATTTTCTCAGTGACAGAAGCCAGTGCTAGGGCTGAGGAGGGTACAACACACGTGGCGCCTTTGCACGCAGGTGTGAGAATGTGCGGGTCACGCTCCTGAAGGGGCAGAACCCGAGACAGCCCCACCTGACCTGGGCTGCTTTGGCTCTAGTGAAACAAGAGGCTAACAGCCTTCGAGACACAAAACCTAACATTTGGGTGTCATGACACCACCCTCCACCTGCAACACGGCCACCCCAGCCTGTGAAGTGCGTTTCCTGCTGTGCCTCAGGCCTGAGGCATGCACACCCATGCCCCCAAGTAAACAAATGCGCTACGCTGACCACGACGTCCTGTGGGGACAGAGAAGGCCCAGAACCCCTCCTTGTCTTGTCTCGACAGTCCTCATGGGCCACACCGTGACGCGCTCCAATTACCGTGGCCTGGCTGGTGCTTCTGATGCCCAAACATCCCTTCACACCCCCACACAACGGCCTCAGCTGCCGACACCAACGTGCCCAGGACACAAACCTCATGTCCCACTCACAGCCATCTCCAGAAAGCAACCCCAGAAACACGGTCTGCACAGCACCAGAGGACAGGGGCCGAGGGAGGGACTCACTGCGAGTGCCGTGACAATCTGGGGACACGCACGCCACAGCAGACTTGCTTTCTCTCCGTGCAGTGGACAGTTCAGCAGCAGCTTGAGCACGGTGACAGCTGACAAGACAGCCTGCAGGAGGGACAGAATCAGCAGCAGAAACAGCTGCTCCCGCCAGGAGAACTGCAGCTGGGGAATAGGCCACTCACGGTGCTAGAGCGATAAAGAGCCTAGGGAACCTGGCGACGACAGGGCAAGGACAGGGCCTGTTCAGAGCCAGGTCCTGAGGGCGACGCCCTTCAGAGCAGCGCACAGACAGGGAGGGGCCAGAATGAGCAGCTTCCAGCAGTGTCTCTGAGCCACACAAGAGAACAGCCAGGACACCGAACCCTTTGGGACACAATGTGGACCCAAGACAGAGATCCCGTCTCACCAAGACCTTGTCCCTGCAGAGGATGCTGGCTGTGAGTCAGAACTCAGCAAGGACTGTATGTGCCATGGACGAAAGGAGGGCGTGAAGGGAACAGAAACAGTGAACTGGGCTAGGTGCAGTAGTGATTGCAGGTGACAGCGTTAAGTCCTGAGAGTGTGCAGGCGGGCTGCGTCACCGAGCCTGGCCCGGGCGGTCCACACGGCAACTCCAGCCTCACCCAGCCTCCTCCTCCCCCGCCTGAGCAGCCCACACCCGGCAGTGACCCGGCTTCTGCCCTTGTGTCCTCCCTTCTCCCTCCCTGACTATGCACCCCAAAGCCCAGCTCCCCCACTCTCCTGCCTACCTGCAGGCACGACCCACCCAGGACCCGCACACCTGCCCCTCCTCATGTCCCTCTTCCCCAGTCACATCTTCTCTGCTCTAGGACACACACACGCTGCACGCACATCCACACGGTGCCCTAACTACACGCTGCCCACACACCCACACGGTGCCCTAACCACACGCTGTCCTAACCACATGCTGCCCACACACCCACACGGTGCCCTAACCACACAGTGCCCACACACCCACACAGTGCCCTAAGCACATGCTGCCCGCAGGCCCACATGCTGCCTGCACACCCACACGCTGCCTGCAGGCCCACACATTGCCCTAACCTCCTGTCATGGCCCCTCCCGGCCCATGGTCTCTGCCAGCTGGAACTCCAGCTTGTGTTTAGCTGTAGGGGACGCTGCATCTGAACGAGTCTTCCCATCTGGGCCTGCCACATGAGGGACCGAGCAGCTGCCCACCTGCACATCTGCTCTCCACGCGTTACTGACATCCAGGCCTTGCAGAACGTGCCGCACTACCAGCTGGACATCCTCCGTGGTCCCCACCTCCAGCATCTGGGTGAGCAGGGCTACCAGATGAGGTTCAACAGCCCGGGTCACCTCAGCAGGAATTTCAGGATCTGTGTAGAAAAGAAACAAAGTGTTAAGATGTGACAGGCAAGGGACAGGTGGAATAAACTCCAGAGCCAGCATGAGAATCACATTGCTGGGGCATGCTCACACTCACCCACTGTACCTACGCATGGTGCACACACATGACGACTGTGCGCGGAACAGCGAATGCTGGACCATGCAGCATAGGTGACTCCTGCTTTGTTCGTGCTTATTCCCTATTTTCCTGTACTTCTTTATAAAATCAATACAGGTGCAGGAGGGGGAGGTGTCCTTAGATGGGAATGTTAAAAAGGCCAGAAAAAGCCTAAACCTTTCCAGACTGCCTGTTGACGTCATCCAGCTGTTTTCCGGGAACTGCATGATAGAGCCCCAGGAGAGGGCACTGGGACCCTTTGTCTCCTGTCCCCAGCCTATCTTGCCAGCCAGTGGTCAGCCCCATCAGACCCTGCATGTCGCTGGACGGCTTCCCTTCTTTGCTCCCTGCTTACAGCACCGGGTGGAGGGACCGAGAGCTCTGGGAGACCTGTCAGACCCCCTCAGGACCCCAGCCTCCACTCCCCCAGCAGCGAATCAGGCGGAATGGCACCAGCGCCTGGGCAGAGGGCGGCCCTTGCAGGGAAGGCCCGCTGGCCACGTGCGCCTCTCAGCCCTGCCATCTGGGTGAGCATCCACAACGTAACCAGACATGGCCAACACCTCCCCCTCTGCAGGGCAGGGCATGGTGCCACACACACAGAAGCATGCTGAGAAGCGCTGGTTTCTGTAATCGAACAATCTTTTTTTTCTGGCGGCTGGCCGGTGTGGGCATCGAGCCCTGGACCTTGGTGTCATCAGCCCCACGCTCTCACCTGAGCTCTCTGGCCAGCTGGTTTCCATAACCAAATCAAGTAGCCTGTTCTCCATCAGGAAGCACTCTTCACTGAAGCTCGTCTTTACAAGCTGAAGCCCACCCCGAGACCCCAGGACACGGGGGACACGCAGGCTCACTTGTGTGGTTGCACTTTGGTGACTCGAAGTGTCTCCCTGTCCGAAGCCTGGGGCCCCTCTCCCTAGCATCTCCCTGGACCACTCCCCCATCCAGTGCTTCCCATGACTGCGGCCCTGCCTCTGGGGTCAGTGGCACAAGTGCAGGGACACAGTTGGGGCTGACAGAGTGCCTCCTCTCACCAGGGCGGGAGGGATGGGGTCATGGTGCTCTGTGCAACCAGGGGCAGAGGGACAGAGCTGCAGACCAGCAGCTGCCATGCATGCGATGCTGTGACTGGTCTTAATGGAGACTCAGCCCAGCCCAAATAGGAGGTGAGTAGCACTCAGGAGAGTCGCTGATGGGGCCAGAGGACACCTCGTCAAAGCCTTCTCAGTTAACCCACAGGCAGGCCACACACAGAGAGCGAGACAGCTGCGTCACTGGTGCTCTGGCATTGGCCCAGGCGCACCACGTGGCTTTGCTCCCCAGACAGCCCCTTTAACCCTTGCGTGGCCAGAGCACTCCTGCAGCCCAGCCTCTGCCCACTGCTCCACGAGAAAATGCAAAGCTTGGCTGTGTCCTGGGGGTCCAGCCTGGCTGACGCCCTCCCAACCTCACCTCAGAACTGTCCGACTCCAACCCCAACCCAAAACGAAAAAGAAAAACCCACACCAGCTGTGGTGCATGCTTCTTGAAACAGGGAAGAAAGGTGACCCGTTTCAGTTTCTGTTTCTCTGGGGAGTAAAAGCATGTTCTATTTTTATACACTAATTAGGGTGACAATATTAAAAATCTTTTACTGTGTTATTTGTATATAGTCATTTTTAGAGGAAAACTTTAGCTCTAAAAGGGAATCCCAAAATATCATAATCTATCCCCTGCTTATGACCAATTTAATTAAATCATAGAAAAGCATGTGACCTATTACAATATTACAATACAATATTAAAATGGTATAAAGTACGAAAATAGAAACAATTATAACACTTTAATATGATTACTTTAAAATTTTTGCATAGGTTTCTAGCCCTTGTGTACATGCATGTATATTTTATATAGCTGTAATCATGGCAAATTCGATATGTTGTGGGGTTTCTTTGCTTAAAATTAGTATTTTGGGGCATATTTCTGAATAGTTTACATCATTTTAATGAGTTCATAGTAGTCCATTAATCTTTGTTCTAGGGGACTGCAGAGGTCAACTCTTGGTGCATGAAGACCTCAGCCCTCTCACCACTAGCTCTGAGGTCCTGCTGGCTGGCCTGGAAAGGGGACACCCGGGTGAGCTGCTGTCCCATCAGCACCACACTGACAGGGTTGGGAGCAGCTCTGGGAAGGCTCAGGCCCACCCTCAAGGAACCCTATGAGGCTTTCCAGAAATTAAGCTACTCAAACTTTTTAAAAGTTTGCAGATTTTACACCTTTTTAAAGGTGTAAATTATGGCAATGAACATCTGATACAGGAGAGCCTGAAATTACCTACGTGAATCATCCGTGGCCAGGACCAGTTAAAAAAAAGAGTAAAGGAGTAGATTTCAGAATTATAAACTTACACAGAACCATGTCCAAAATAAGTGCACAACAGAGGAGCTGAGCCCACACCCAGAGGCCACCGTCTGCCTAACACGTGGAGGGACGGCTGTGACGGTGGCTGCCCCATGGGCCGAATGCGGCTGGCGGAGAGGAAGTCCTGGCGCCAGGACTGGGGGGATCTTCCCAGGGTGCTCGGGTGGGTCCGTCTGCACGAGCCACATGTCCACTTACTCCCTGTTCCAAACGGGGGAACGCTCCCTTCTACCTAAACCTCGATAGCACAGAATCAGCTCGACAGAAATCCTCTTACCTGCAAGAACTTTCCTCACAGAATGAAATACGGAGGTGAAGATGGAGCCCTTCTTGGGATGGAGTCCTGGGGCCAGAAAGAACAGAGTTAAAAACTGCAAGGCTGCCTGGAAGGACTGAGCGCTGACCCCCAGAGCCGGCAGCTCCGACAGGATCTGAGAGCAGACGCCCTGGTGGAAGGCAGCATGGAGGGGTGGCCCTGTGTCTGCCCCTCCATCCCCGCAGCACCAGCTCAGGTGTGCTTCCAGGAGCGTGGTGGCAGAAGAGATGAGGGCCTCGGGCAGGTGCTGGCCCTGGGCTCCCGACACTGAGCACAGCTGCAGCACAGTGCCCGTCTGCAGCACGGCCTGCCGCAGCAGCATGGCCAGCTCGTCCGGGGGCTCCAGGGGCTGCTTCCGCTCACAGACGAAAGGCCCCAGGACCTGGCACAACTTGGTTAGAGACACCAGCAGGAGCTGCCTGCCCAGAAGGCTCTGATTTTCCAGCTGTTTGCTGGAAGCTGCCTCAGTGTGCATTGTGCACCTTGAGAGGAATGCAGCGATTTTCCCAAAATTGAGCCCCAGGCTCAGCTTCATCTGGACGAGCGTGTGCATCAGCTGCTCTAAGAAGGCACCGATTGCCTGGACAAATTCCAGCCAAGAGGGGTCATCCACCGCAACACGGAGGCTACTGCTGGCTTTGAACGACGAGCTCAGGACAATCTCAAAAACGTCGCTGACGTACATGATCCTGAACACTGAGAGGGCGCTTCTGCCCCTTTGCAGGTGACCGAGAAGCCGGTAGCAAGTCTTCAGGAACTCGAGGGCCGGCGAGGAGGAGCAGTCGCACCCCAGCTTGGTGACAGCCATGGACAGCAGCAGAAGGAAGCAACGCGCGTGACAGGGCGGCGGGAGGCTGTCCAGCTGGAGGGCAGAAATGACCTCCAAGAGCCCCTGCGTGCGTTCAAGCTGCTCGCCCCTCAGCTGGATGGGGAAGTCACTCTTGACCAGGGACAGTAAGTTCCGGGCAATTTCTCCTCTTGGTTCGACGCTTTTGCGTCCGTCTTTTACAAATCTGCTTTCCCAATGGGCCGTGACCATGTGGTCTTTTTCAAAAATCCAGGGTAGCTGCTCACTCAGAGGACCTGGGTCGCTCTGGACACCAGAACGCAGAATGCTGGAACAGCGCTCCGCCACGCACGTTAAGAAGGCAGCGTGAAGGGACCGCATCTCCGGAAAGAGAGGGCTGCGCAGGACGGCCTTGGATATTTTTTCCAGCGTGATACTTGGCTCTTCGTCTGCCGAGCCTTCCTGGGCTCTGCTCTCTGGTAAAGTTCTCAGCAGGACGCTGGCCAGGTGTCTCACGTCATCTGGACAGAGATAGGATATTAAAAGTGTGAGATTGGAAGCGATCAAGTGCCAGTGTGCTACAGGGTACGTGGAGGCGCTCACTGTGCCGACCTGGCCATCCCAGGAAGCTGACGTCCTTTGATTCAAGCTTTCTCTGCCAGAACCAATAACGCAGGCGGTGTCAGACCTCAGAGTCTGGAGGGCTTCTTCACACCGGAAACTAGTCTGCATTAAAGTCCTTTTCATTCTGTGCAGATAGAGCTGCTCTAAGCAATACCTGCCCACGGAGCTGAACTGAGCTGCCAATTTCTCTACCTTCTTCCAGGACTGTGTTTCTACACCTGGGAGCAGCGCAGGGAGGCTCGGGGTCCCCAGAGCAGCCCCTGCCAGGGCCTCAGACACAGAATGATACTGGCTGCAGTGCAGACTGAGCGTGGTGTCCACCTGGGCCCAGGTGCAGGACAGCAGGAGGGCGGAATCGCTGACCTTCTGAAGCCACAGCTCAGACGCTGGGCCCGGGGGCTCCGAGATGTGGGCCAGCAGGGGCCTCACGAGCTCTCCCAGCATCCGCTCCATCGTGCACTGCATCCGTCGGACAACGGGCAGCGGTGTGCTGCTGTCCAGGCTGCGCATGTTGAACATGATGCAGTGCAGCAGGGAGCTCAGAGACAGCGACTTTAGGGCCATGTCGGTGTCACTCTGCAAATACGGCAGGACCAAGGACTGGAACTTCTCCAGCACGAGGCACCAGGTGTCCAAGATCTGACTCGGAGGCAGCTCCAGGAGGCACGCACGGAGCACGGTGGAGGGGCCCGCAGCCAGCACAGGCTGCCTCAGCACCTCGGCCGCCGGGCGGCAGATCACCCCCAGAACCTCCTCGAACAGCCGCGGCACTTGTCGGAGCTTGGCATACGTCTGGAAGAGGGTGTGAATAAGCACCTCCTGGGCTCTTCTGGTTCGAAACTCTGTTACTTCTGCATCGATCCAAGCCGAAGCCAATAGGTCATCCAGGTCTGGCTCCAAAATCAAATGATTCAGGGACATCAGAGTCTTGAGGCAGCGAAACCAGGCCGGTACCGGTGTTTGCAAGTGGTTTATCAGCAGCTCGGCCAAGCGGCGGTAAAAGTGGAACTGAGCCTCTCCATGCCGGATCCTGTCGGCGGCAATGTTGTAGATATTGTTGCTGGCCACCAAGTTCAACAGCTGTTCCACAGCCAGCAGTTCTGTGGTCCAATCTGACGTGGACAGGGCTCCCACCTGCCCCTCCTGCAGGTGGGAAACCCTCAAGCAGCCAAACAGTCTGGGCAGAACCTGGAAGCAGAGAAGCTGGTTCCCCTCCTTGAAGTAGGAATCTAGAAAGAGCTTGAACAGCAAGGCCACGGAGCTGGCCACAACAGAACCATGAAGGGCAGGCTCGAGGTCGGCAGCATCGACCAGCCTGGCGATCACAGTGCCCATGGGGGTTAGAAGGTTCTTCATGGCCCCCATCTTTGTGTCCCCTTGCTGCTGGTCCAAGAGCTCCTCTTTGTAGGATGAGAGCAGCTCAGGCTGGAAGACCCCACCTCGAAGCACAGCCTCAATCTTACTCCTCACCTCACGGATCAGTGCCGGCCGCAGCTGGACCTGGCCAGCCTGTGACCAGGTGCCCCCTGAGAGCAGGTGTCTCAGGACCAGGCAGGGCTGGAGCAGGTGCCCAGTCACATCCCCAAAGGCACGTCTCGGGTTGACCTGCTGCTGCTGGATCAAGAGGTAGTGGCCGAGGGCCAGGTGGATGACCTCGAACAACGGGGTGACTGCAGCTCCCTCCGGCTGCCTGCAGGCCGACCAGCAGAGCTGGCTCAGCAAGGCCACCATCAGCTCCTGCTTGGCCGTGTAGATGACAGCAAGGGCGGGTGTCGACAGGATGCCCTGGCAGCAGCTCAGGACAGCACATATGTTTCTTTGGGATCCCAAAAGAGAGAACTCAGCTATTCTCTCATTTATGATCTGAACATCAAGAAAGAAAGAAAACCCATTAGTGACCCTAAACCCACACGTAACACAGAAAAAGCACAACAGAGTCCATAAACTCACTCCTCGCCCTCACTGAGATGAGAAAGAAACGCCCAGTCTATTGCATCTGAATAACCTGACATCTGCTTAGTACACCACAGGAAGGCGAAGAACCCGTTCAGATTCCCTCACGTGCCCACCTCCAACCAATACAAACTGGAAGAGGATCAGCACCTTTGAAAATTTGCTGTCCCTTTGTCACAAGCTGGCGGGTTTTAAAGGCCTCAATGCCAAAGATCACATCTTAGATTTTAAACCTGCAATTCAGACTACCTGTCACCTGGTGAGTGGACAGTGACACCTGAGTTATGATCTGTGGTCCAAAACACATGTTCATAGTGAATTATACTTTTAAAAAAGTCAAAGCGAAAGCCGCTCTTAAATAAAGAAAGCAAACGTTGCCAGTTATGACTCACTATAGAGCAAACTCACTGTCTATTGCTCTCAGAATTCCAAAATCCACAAACACCAGAAATTACGAAAGCCAGCAGATTCCTAAATTCATCACAGGCTAAGTGACTTGCTCCCAGCCTTACGGCACCAGAGAGTCAAATGTACGCCGGGTGCCAGGTCATCAGCGGCCCAATGAGGTGGCTGGTTTTATTTCCATTCCAGTAGCTGCTGGACCTTTAGACTCACTGTGGAAAAGCGCTGACAAAACACCAAATCCTGCAATGCCTATGCTCCTTTACGGTGATTTCCAAAGTTTTGATTATACAATTCATCGATAAAAACTTTTTCCACATTTACACCCAATAAGTGTAACTCATTTATAAATTATGTACATATACTACAGTAGTAATATTTTACATAATTATAAAGCACACATAAAAATAAAAATTAAGTATGGTTTTTAAACACAGAAACATTCTAAGGTGTTCTTCCCACATCCCAAGGACCATTCAGAATGACCCACTTTGATAACCACCCCTCTATTATTTTAAAACGTGACACAATTTAGAACATATCTCGACAGCCATTGAAACCTGCCGACCATCAGGCAGTGCCACACTTCACTCTTCTGCTACCAGCCTCTCCTGAGTTTCTCTTTCTGCTGTACACGTGTGGGTGAGGTGCTGTGGTGGTTCAATAGCACAGGCTTTGCCATCAGGCAGATCTGGGTTCAAATCCCAGCTCTGCCACTTACTACCCATGTGAGTTTAGGCAAGTTCCTTACCTCTGAGCCTGGCACGCACTAAGTGGTCATGAGGAGTGGTTCTTATTCTCACTAGCTACACTCATGACAGGTCAAACTACTCAGTGTTGACAGTGACGTTCATCCTTCTGACCTGTGACTTCAAAATCATTTTCAGTCAAAAACCTTTGAGGAAATTTCTATCTGAATTTTGGACTTTGATCTCCCTCCAGGCCAACAGAAAGGTTAAAAAAAAAAAAAAATCGGAGCAGCATAATTTGCCGGCTACCTTATCCAATTAAAAACATAATCAACAAGCTGTTTATGAAATAGTCCTATGCTTTTCCTGAATGTTAATTAAGAGTGTGTGGCATGGTATGCAGCATACAATATGCACTCAATAAGCATAGTTATTATAATCCTAATATTATTTCTTCCTTCTACCTTGATATTGCCTACACCTTCATATAATTGACCCTAAAACAAATAAGCCCCAGCAATGACAGGAAATCAACAGAGTTGTAGCACATATAGGAAAACAGAAGAGACGATTAATTACCTTGACGAGGGAAATCTGAAGATTTATGGTCTTTCCACTCTTGAGAAGATTCTGCAGTTTCCTGCTATGTAGAATGTTATCTATATAGACCCAAAGCCTTTCAACAACATCTTCTGTCAGTTCAAGTTTTTTCTTATAAAATGCAACCAATGACTGTCTTGCCCAATCGAGTAATACCTGAATTTGGAGGAAACATACTATGAAAATTTGCCAGGAAAGAAAGATGCTGGGCATTGTAGGGACATTCCAGGCATAGCCAAGTCCAACTGCCAGGAACAAAAACTCTCCTTTGGTAATACATTACATAAATGTTTCAATATCTTAAAATGTTTATTATTAAAGAATACAAAGGGAAAAACAACTAATTTTGTCTTCATCTAGAGCAAATGAAAAGTTTCAGGTCAAACTCTAACATGTCACCCCCTTTTCTGAAGCTGTACTAAGTTTTAAAAGTTAAGGGCTGGCCGGTTAGCTCAATCAGCAGAGCGCTCTGCTGATAACACCAAGGTCAAGGGTTCAGATCCCATTCCTGTTCAGCTTCCAAAACAAAGGAAAAAAAAAAAATTAGCAGCACAACAACTGTTCAGAATGACCACAGGCTGAATCACACAAATAAAGCAACAAAGAAAGGGCCAGAAGACTTGTTGTGCGTCCCGGCCTCCCACATCTTAACCTCTAGATCTGTGTCTGCCTGGTGCAGGAGACAGACAGTCCACGTGAAACAATGCTCGAGTGCTTCACTAAAAGGAGGGTGGTACACACAGTTTCCATCACTGTGACGCGTTTCCTCACTCATGAAACGTCGAGGGACGGTGGTGAGGCCTCGGCTCACAAAACCAGAACTGTCTATAACAACGTAAGTAGTGACAGATCACAGAAGGAAAAAGCCTCTCCGGTGAGAACAGCAGAGACCTGATCCAACCACCTGCCAGGGCCTCCCCTGCACCTCGTCCTGGGCGGCACTTGCCAGGTGACATCAGGCTGCCAGGATGGTTCCCAGGAGCAGCCAGGTGTGGAAACTACCAGATACGACAGCTGCTCTGCACACCAGGCCTCCTCGTCACTGTAGCACATGCAGTCTGTCTTTGACAGATTCATACCAGCAACTGGATGCATGTTAACCCAATCTCGTGAGCTCGACATCCTGGCGTTTGCCATACTAGCTGTTTTTTTAGCCAAATAAGCTTGAGAAATATCAATAAAGAGTAAATCTTTCTTGGCACCTAGCCTGTTTCTAGATAGCTGAATACAAACACTAACGCTTCTCTCCTTCCCCACCTCCAATTTATCAAATTCTAAAGATTTTTAACAAAGCACCATCAAGCAATTGCTTAGGAGTGTCGCTTTGTATTTATAAATAAATGGAGCTACTGACTTTCCAGAACCTAATTTCTGTAACTTAATTCCCAATGCGTTCACTAATACATATACGTAATTCATAACATGATGTTTCCAAACGAAAGAAATGCTGAATGAGGTTTCGTAACAGAAAACCTTTGTTAAGGAGATACCTGACTCATCAATTTTTTCACCGACGTTACTTTTAACTTCCAACAAAGTTTCCTTCCCAATCTTTAATCTTTTTTAACTCTCAACATGCAATTCATAGGAGTGATAATTATTTTAGATTGTAAAAATATAAGTTTCCGTTAAACTTACTTGTTCCTTATTTGGAAGAAAGCACTGGTGGGAAATCCAAGCAAAGTGAGCTAATTTTAGTTTATCTTCCCAGGAAGTTGTCTTGCTCTTAAGCTTGAGAGACACGCCAGAGTAGACAGCAGCCATCACTACACGTTATCTACAATTAAAAACAATGGGAGAAACAGAATGACAAGGCCAAATTGAAGAGGCATGAGAAAATGAACAGTACGTACCTGACTGTCTGCATAATACCTATTTTAAAAAAAAAAAAAATGATATTGAATTAAAACAGCAACAAACTGCCTGAGATAAACCTATACATAAGATGCGTGACCCCATGAATTTTGGGGGTGGCTGGGTGGGAATTCAGACAAAAACAGGCAGAAGATGGAACACACACAGGAGNTTATAAAATGCAACCAATGACTGTCTTGCCCAATCGAGTAATACCTGAATTTGGAGGAAACATACTATGAAAATTTGCCAGGAAAGAAAGATGCTGGGCATTGTAGGGACATTCCAGGCATAGCCAAGTCCAACTGCCAGGAACAAAAACTCTCCCTTGGTAATACATTACATAAATGTTTCAATATCTTAAAATGTTTATTATTAAAGAATACAAAGGGAAAAACAACTAATTTTGTCTTCATCTAGAGCAAATGAAAAGTTTCAGGTCAAACTCTAACATGTCACCCCCTTTTCTGAAGCTGTACTAAGTTTTAAAAGTTAAGGGCTGGCCGGTTAGCTCAATCAGTAGAGCGCTCTGCTGATAACACCAAGGTCAAGGGTTCAGATCCCATTCCTGTTCAGCTTCCAAAACAAAGGAAAAAAAAAAAATTAGCAGCACAACAACTGTTCAGAATGACCACAGGCTGAATCACACAAATAAAGCAACAAAGAAAGGGCCAGAAGACTTGTTGTGCGTCCCGGCCTCCCACATCTTAACCTCTAGATCTGTGTCTGCCTGGTGCAGGAGACAGACAGTCCACGTGAAACAATGCTCGAGTGCTTCACTAAAAGGAGGGTGGTACACACAGTTTCCATCACTGTGACGCGTTTCCTCACTCATGAAACGTCGAGGGACGGTGGTGAGGCCTCGGCTCACAAAACCAGAACTGTCTATAACAACGTAAGTAGTGACAGATCACAGAAGGAAAAAGCCTCTCCGGTGAGAACAGCAGAGACCTGATCCAACCACCTGCCAGGGCCTCCCCTGCACCTCGTCCTGGGCGGCACTTGCCAGGTGACATCAGGCTGCCAGGATGGTTCCCAGGAGCAGCCAGGTGTGGAAACTACCAGATACGACAGCTGCTCTGCACACCAGGCCTCCTCGTCACTGTAGCACATGCAGTCTGTCTTTGACAGATTCATACCAGCAACTGGATGCATGTTAACCCAATCTCGTGAGCTCGACATCCTGGCGTTTGCCATACTAGCTGTTTTTTTAGCCAAATAAGCTTGAGAAATATCAATAAAGAGTAAATCTTTCTTGGCACCTAGCCTGTTTCTAGATAGCTGAATACAAACACTAACGCTTCTCTCCTTCCCCACCTCCAATTTATCAAATTCTAAAGATTTTTAACAAAGCACCATCAAGCAATTGCTTAGGAGTGTCGCTTTGTATTTATAAATAAATGGAGCTACTGACTTTCCAGAACCTAATTTCTGTAACTTAATTCCCAATGCGTTCACTAATACATATACGTAATTCATAACATGATGTTTCCAAACGAAAGAAATGCTGAATGAGGTTTCGTAACAGAAAACCTTTGTTAAGGAGATACCTGACTCATCAATTTTTTCACCGACGTTACTTTTAACTTCCAACAAAGTTTCCTTCCCAATCTTTAATCTTTTTTAACTCTCAACATGCAATTCATAGGAGTGATAATTATTTTAGATTGTAAAAATATAAGTTTCCGTTAAACTTACTTGCTCCTTATTTGGAAGAAAGCACTGGTGGGAAATCCAAGCAAAGTGAGCTAATTTTAGTTTATCTTCCCAGGAAGTTGTCTTGCTCTTAAGCTTGAGAGACACGCCAGAGTAGACAGCAGCCATCACTACACGTTATCTACAATTAAAAACAATGGGAGAAACAGAATGACAAGGCCAAATTGAAGAGGCATGAGAAAATGAACAGTACGTACCTGACTGTCTGCATAATACCTATTTTAAAAAAAATTGAAGAGGCATGAGAAAATGAACAGTACGTACCTGACTGTCTGCATAATACCTATTTTTTTTTTGAATGACAAGGCCAAATTGACGAGGCATGAGAAAATGAACAGTACGTACCTGACTGTCTGCATAATACCTATTTTAAAAAAAAAAAAAATGATATTGAATTAAAACAGCAACAAACTGCCTGAGATAAACCTATACATAAGATGCGTGACCCCATGAATTTTGGGGGTGGCTGGGTGGGAATTCAGACAAAAACAGGCAGAAGATGGAACACACACAGGAGATGAGTACAAATATTCCTGCCACGAGCAAACTTCGGGTCCACGAAGCTGAGCGTGCAGAAACTCATGCAGGCAGAAGTCAAAGTGCTCAGAGCACGTGTGGAAAGAGCGTCATTCATACACGGCTTCACGCTCAAAGAGGAAAGTTTCTGCACACGCTACACATATAATGCATTAAGATCAGCTCCATTAAATAGTTCAGAGATAAATAAGCAATATTTGCAGGAAGCAGTATTTCTCCAAGTGAACAAGACATAAAGTATTAACGCAATCCCAAGAGAAATACTGTTACTTCAGCTGCAACAGTAACGCCCCACCACTATGCCTTATTCAGGCACGTGTAAATTTACAAACACAAACACTTGCTGGAAAGACTCTACAAGGGCCGGCCCGGTGGCGCACTGCTACAGTGCGCCGCTTGGGAAGCGCGGCAGCGCTCCCGCCGAGGGTTCGGATCCCACATACAGACCAGCCGCTCACTGGCTGAGCGAGGGGCGGGTGCAACGCCGAGGGTTGCGATCCTGTTGCCGGTCCCGGCCCGGTACGGGCACAGCACTGAGGGTTGCGATCCGTTGCCGGTGATGAAAAAAAAAAGACAAAAAGGGGGGGGGAAAAAAAAAAAGACTCTACAAAAGATTTAAATAAATCAGTTCCTCAAGAGAAAAAAAATTCCATGACACTACTTAATACGGAAGTCAACTTATTGTAAATGACAACAAAATAGAACAACGCAAATACTGAAAAGAAGAGGCAGCCCCAACGTTCTAAACTCCGTTCTGTCAAACCGAAAAGAACTTGCTACCCTGCAGGCGGGATCCCGGAATTTTTCCTAAGTCCCGAAGACCGACCCTCAGAGCCTCCTCCAGGTAAGTGCAGAAGGAAGAGCAGGCCGGGTCCACGGCGGCAGGTCCCTGCCTGTCCACAGGTCCCCTGCCAAGGGCACGACCGCCACTAACCACGGGCCGCTCGCCGAGGCTCCGAAGTGCACACGCGTCCGCGGAGTGGGCTTAAGAGACCCCGGCCCGGTCACCTTCGCCCGCCGCGGGAGGGACCCGAGACCACCCACCTGGGGACCCACGTCGGGGCCGGGCCCGGAGTGGACTCGCGTTGGGGCTCGGCTGCGGGTGGGGCTCCCCTCGGTCCTGGCTACAGATGGCGGATCACCTGGGGTCCCCTCGGTTCCGGAGCGGGTGGAGGCTGCCCTCGGTCCAATCTCCGAGTAGGGGTATCACCTGGGCTCCCGGCACGATCTTCCCCGATGTCCCCGCTCCGGCGGTCTCTCTCTCCCCGGTGTCCCTCTTTACCCCGGTGTCCCTCTCCCCCCGGTGT